GCACAAAGAATATCCTTGCAAAATTTCAGCTCCTTACCTTGTCTGGTTCCCGAGATAGTTCTCCCGCCAAAGAATTTGCATATTTTTTTAAAGCGTCCGCACGAGGCACCCAGGCGTATGCGAGTGATGATATTAAAAAGGGAGGGCCGCACAGGTGGTGGACACGTACTTCCTAACTATCAGTCTTCTTGCATTTCTGGTTTTCGAGTTGAAAATGGACAATAAAAAGTGCGAACACGCAAATGGCCTCCTGCCAACATACGTTTTTGCATTTGCATATATGCAAAAACACATAAAAACCTAGTTTTACACTCACTATTAGGTCATTTAAAAGTGCCGTTATAAAAGAAACCCAGCGACGCGTAGTTTGACTGCTAAAGAGGATACTGAGCATCACATGGATCCAATTTTCATTTTGACCCAATCCACATCCCTTGTCAATCCTCTTCTCAGTTTGCTTAAAAGCAACCCCTGTAAGGGAGAATCATTTTTTATCGAGACTGAACTGCTGGCAAGAAAACAATCAAACTACCACAGTCTGTCTTGCCTTGAAAGATGGAAGGCTGACGGTGGTTCTGCGCTTCCTCAGTAGCAAGTTCCAGAAAAGCATATGACAAATGCCGTCAGGTGTCAAAACAATGCAAGAGATTACAGAAATGTATCATAAACAATCATTCGCAGCCCAGACTTTTTTAAGACGGCTAACGCTCAAACGGTGGAACAGAAGACAAGCAACCTAAATGAAAGTGAAAACAGACGAAAAACAAACCTCATTATTAGCACTGTCTTTTAATCGCTTAGTTAAACTACATCGTTCTCCAGAACTGCGACTAAACGCGGAATTAGCCGACTGTGGAAATACTGCTGACGTGACTTTGCCTGAAGTCTTCAGCGATTCTTCACCTGAAATCGGCATATTTTGCATCGAAACTAGGTATTTCTAGCCCCAATACAGAATTTGAAATTTTGATGGGTGAGTCTCAAATTCTGGAAAAACCGGCTTTTTAGATATTATTTCACTCTTTCCCGCGAGAAAATAAAAGTTCAAGTTACTGACAGCTTGGTACAGTGGGTGACAACTACTTCAGGAATCGAGTACTTGTATCGGATTTTTAGCGAGAAAATCAGTTTTTCCACCACTTCTTTCAAGGGCAACGTTAATGCTAGGATGCTCGGGATAACAAGCAGATAGACGGACGGCCCTAGCGCAGAAAATTCTCAGTGATGCATT